ATTTTAACTGGTTACTCGCAAATTAATTCGTGAGAGGTGTCAGAAATTAATGGATGTTGATCTCGATTATTTTTTCTCCATTAAAATTTATTACATTTGAATTAATTACATAACTATAACTGATTTTTATTTGATGGTCATTTTATAATTTTTTTTCGTTTTTTCAAATTAACTCTTTAATATTAAAAAAACTGAGAGCAGCGGGATAGGATAGGATAGGATAGGATTAGACTGAAATCACAGGATAGGATTGTGGATGCAGGATTCACGATAGGATAGGATTGTCAACTTATAGGATAACAGCACTGTATTGAATTGAATTATGCATGTCACAGAGGACGTCTGATTGTATTTCCTGTCGAGTATCGTCTCTTCTGTCAACGTCCGGCCAAACCGGAAGTAACTATAAATGACGTATTTCTGCAGTATCAACATAAAATCAAATGATTGAATTCAACCAAGACTTTTGACCCAATTTTCTGTCGATTGGGGTCACTTCCGGTCAAACCGGAAGTAGTCTTGATTTGCTTTATTTAACGAAAATCAGCATAAAAATCATAAAAAACTAAATACAGATCGACATAATTTTTGGTCTGTAGGCCTTTTTTTTAACGAATACTTTACTTTCGTTTATCCATCTTACAAGCAGAGCTTCTGAAAATCGGACGGAAGACCTACTCGTTGCTTTGCAACGAGCTTTGCTCTAGTTTTTTTTTTTTTTTTTGGCTTGTCAGATTTTTTTGGAAGCCCCCCCCCCTTCCCCACTTTTGAAACTGTCCCTACTGACCTGAAACACATGATTAAAATAAGCTTAGAATTATTGTAGGTAACCTACAATCATGTCCATTGCGTTCAGAATTTTAGTTGTGACTGGTAACAATTTGTCAATATTTGATCATCTGATTTGTTGGGAAATAATGCCCGGTGTATACTCGTTGAAGTGCAGGGGTGTATATATATATACGTGGCTTTAGCCGTTCAGCCTGTATCTTTCATATAAAACTTTTTTCTGGTAATTTCTGGTAAGGTTTGCTAGTTAAGAACTTTCTGGTAAAGTTTGTGCTCCAAACTGAAATTACTTTAATACAGGCCTGTGGTTTGATTAGACAGTTTTGAGTGCAGTTTTTTTTTAAAGTAAGTAATGGTACATATAGGGGTATAAAAATCAAGAAATGGATGGCATATAATATATAAAGAAATGGTTATACATGTAGTAGTATTGACAATCACCACATCAGTATATTATACCTCAATATCAAAAGAAACTATTTCTCTCCATTTTTTGGAAGGAGGGGAGGGGGCTTAAATTTGAAAAGGCTAACCTTCTGTTTAACACAATACACGATTTAAAAATATTAAGTTTTTGCTAAGCATGTACATGTAAAACAATTAATAAATTATTGTTTGTTTTTTTTTTCATTGAATTGCCTTAGCATGCAGTTCTTCAGAAGACATTGTTCTTAGGGAAAAGAAAATCATGTTATATAAATATCATACTTTTCTTTATTTAGAGCCAGCATTGGTCTTCGTGTACAAAATGGCTAAATGAAATATATGTGCATGTATGCATTTAAGACCAACATTATTGTAATTTCCTGTGAAAAATGAAGACATTTACTACATCAGGGTCTGTGTACAGATATAAATTTAAAAAAAGTAAGTTATTTAGTTAACACTCATTAATTTTGTATATGAATATTATTCTGATGTATTATCTTATCAATGTCTTTGTAGAGGACTATATACGAATTTCACATAAAACATAAGTAATTTAGTTGTTATGTTGTATAATAGATCCATCTGCATCCTTTCTCATAATCAATTTGCGAATTAAGCAGGCAACAAAGTAGATAATTAATCATTCTTTCTATGTTTTCAATATTTGAAGTTTACATTGATGTCAAACAAGGAAGATTCGTTAATTACCGATTAAGAAATTTTATTTCATTTATCTATGCACTTACAAATTTATTTGAAAAAGAATTATGATTTAACACATAACGAGAATTTAGATTTATTCTAGATGAATAGACAAGTATATATAATTTTTCAACGGTTAGGAAATTTTGTTTTTTAATCAGTAATGAAAAATTGAAATACAATTCTTTTTTTTCTTCTCTCATTGAACATCTTAAAATTAATGTAGCTTATTTTATCAATATTTTGTGGTCTTATTGATAATTTAAATTATTTTTTTTTAAATCAAATCGATTGCCAGCAATTATCACCTAAATTTAAACTGAGTTTGCGGAGATTATGTGTATGTACATGCTTGACCACAGCCCATTGTTCCCCTTAGGTAGAAAACCCTCTCAAATCACATAGAATATACAAAAAATACACAGTCGCAGGTGTCTTCGCGACACGTGTCTCCACCTGTGGCATGTGAGAACAGGTGCCCGCGATTACAAGGATTAGCGCAATGATTGAATTTTATCTGAACAGTTTACACTGATTTTTGTAAAATTAAAAGTTGTAATAAATCTCTACTAATTCCAATTCTCGTGTCTTTATGAGTTTTACCGAGACTAAAATGTTAAAAAATTATTTAATTTGGGTGTGGTCACAGAATCAGAATATTCAATTTTATTACACAGAATTAAACAAACAATTTTTTAAATTATTCTTTTGATACACGTTTCCAAAATGTCCATTATCGGGAAAATAGGTGTAAACCACAGCATACATGTTTTCCATATCTGGGAAACATGCGGGAAACTACAGGTTGATTGTTTCCATATCGGGAATCTACATGGAAACCACTACTGCATGTTTCTGTGGTTTCCCATATTGGGAAACTTACAGGAAACCATAGATTGATTGTTTCCATATCAGGAATCTACGTAGAAACCACTACTGCATGTTTCTACGTACGGTTTCCCATTTTGGGAAACTTACGGGAAACCACAGGTTGATTGTTTCCGTATCGGGAATTTACGTGGAAACCACTATGTGGTTTCATGTGGTTTCCATAAAGTAGAAACTATATGGAAACTACTGATGTCACGATTCCCATATGTTTCCATCGGGTTTCCATATTTGGGACACCTGGCTTTTCATCCTGTGTAGCTTTGTAATGTTTGATTATAATTGATAATTAACCCGATCATCGATAATGAAATTCTTACAGATTCCCATCACTATATATATAGCTATTAAATTGATTCCTTAAATAAGTTCTGCTTCAATTATTAGGATTATATATATATATATATATATATATATATATATATATATATATATATATATATATATATATATATAAGCAAGCAGTATAGACATACCAAAGGTCTAAGCACTCCCACCCCCCACCCCCCAAAAAGAAACAGTATATTTTTTCAACATTCTGCCCATCACAGAAACTCATAAACTTGAAAGATAATTCAAATTGAAAACCCTTCTGGCCATGATGGTGTAAAGACAGTTTTATGATATTGTCTAATCTACTGTATTTTTTATGTATAGTTCAGAGCCAGAACTATAAGTCAAAATTTAGATTTTGAATATCTTGATTTCTTTTGAACAAAATTTTAGAAAGTTGAAAGTCTAATATTCAAATACAAACACATGATAAAAATCTTGTTTTATACCTATTTGAAATCTGTCCTTAAAAATAATGAGAGTTATTCCTCTTGACCTGCAATGGAGAGAAGAGTGGTGCATGTGTTTACACTAGGCATTACAGTAATAAACACTGGTCTTGTACAAATTCTTAACTGCAGTAAATAGCTTATCAGTTTTGGTTCAGCTTATTATCATAAATCCATCATTTTCATTTTTACATCAATATTATTGTATTGCAGAATTTAACCCAATATATATATATATATATATATATATATATATATATATATATATATATATATATATATATATATATATATATATATATATTTTACAGAATTATCCATATTTTCATTATTATAATTGGAGAATGTAATAACTATGTAGCATTAATAAATACTGAAATCAAGGAAGGAATTCATATTTCACAATACCTTGATTTACGTTTTACCTCGGTTTAAAGGTCAAATATTGAAAATCTAATTTTGAATGGCAAATTTAATGCTAAATATTTAAGAAAAATTGCTGAAAAAATTCCTGATTGAAACAAAACTGTTCCCTATAAATATTAATGCAAAATCAAAAATCACCAAATTACTGAAATTGGTAAACATTTCCTATTTATATTACTCCAGTCAAGATCAATTTAAATTTGATTGTGATTGGTCCATATTTGAAAATTAGCAATTTTTCTTACACTGTAATTTCATTTCAATTTCTTTTGAAATTACTATAATAATATAAATGTCTAATATTTCTTTTCTAAAGGTAGAATGTTCCTTCAAGATTTTTTCGTATATCAAAAAATATGAACACACATTGTTTTTCATATAAATAATTTTTAATTAAAAGAAACTAAATTTTTAATATGAACACACATTGTTTTTCATATAAATAATTTTTAATTAAAAAAAACTAAATATCTATTTGAATCTCTTTGACCTATCTTACTAGATATTTATATGCTGCATTAATTAACAGCATATTTTAAGTGCCAAAACACAACCAAATTATTTTAAAATTGTTTGATTCCATGTTGTTGACCAAAATTCAATTTCGATTAATTTCTCTAAAAAAAAAATACAAACAAAAAAATATTAACATAAAATAATTAAGAACTTATTTTGGCTTATTTTTTAATGCTGAAATCATATGTCAACATTAATGGATACTTTAAACACCCAATGAATAAAAGTTTGGTGTGGCTCCTTATCAGATAAACAAGAATAAATATCTTCATCATTTTTATCTTCTATTTTCTTATTTCCTAAAATCTGTATGGATAAGGTGCCTTAGCTGTATCTTAGCTGTGCCTATTCCTGATCCATCTCAAAATTTAATACATTTTTGTTATAAGCAGAAACTCCTAATCACCACAAGAGAGACTTGTACAAATGGAGGTAATCAGATGGTTAGGAGTACACTATTTTAGGAACATGAGATCGTGTAGTCACCATGAGAAGTTGGGGCACACTGTAGAAGATAGCAACACAGACCGGGGTGGACAGACCCGTCATTACCGCCTTGTACACCAAAGACCTCATGGACAGTAAGTAAGTAACTATAATATACCTTTCTAAAGATACAGATTCTATTGGACCTGCAAATCTGTCCTTTATGGTCCTCTAGATCTTCCTTGGTCATCTACAAATTTATATACTCATATATATATTCAATCATCTTTATACATGTAATGATGTAATGTTTATCATTTTGTGTTAGAATATGAACCCTTGAAGATTTTCATAGATAAATAATCATTCATTGCACCTCCATACAGATTATTACACATAAACATATAGGTAATCAAAGATTACAAATCTCACCTCAACAAATGTTGTCTATAACATCCCTAGATGCATCATCAATACAAGTTCATTAACATAGAGCTTATACTTACTTGTGAATAGACCAGCTCAAAAAAACCTGTTCATTCACCTGGAAAATGTCGATCAGATCCAGCATCTGAAGTAAGTCTGAATTGTCCAACCTTTGATGCATCATCCATGCAGGTTTCGTTACCATATTCATGATAGGGCTTATAGTTAGTTGGGAATAAATATGCTTATCAATAGATGTAGGTCACACCCAACATTTGAAATTTGGTAGTGTGCATCGAATCCTAGATGCATCATCCATGCAAGTTTAGTCCAGGTAGGACTTCAAGTTACTTGGGAAAAAACCTATTATCAAAACTTTTACCTGTTCACTCCTCCAGAAAGTGTAGATTGTAGGTTAGATCCAGCTTCTAAAGCCAGCCTGGTAAAGTGCATCTTAAGGTGCATCATCAATCCAAGTTCAGTAAACCATAGGGCTTACCATTGCTTGGAAATGGACCTTTAAACTGTTCAATCACCTGAAAAAGTAGGTCAGGTGCAGCATCAGAAGCAAGTCTGTAGTGTGAATCTCCAGATGCACCATCAGTGAAGATTTGATCACCTATAGGGCTTATAGTTAATAAAGATAAAATGATTTAGATCCCAAGTTAGCACAGAAAAGGATAATGACAATACAACAAAGAGCTGTAAGGATTGAATTTTTTTTTTTAATAATGATAGTGAAAAATGAATAAAGCTAGGAAAATTCTGGTATTTCAAATTAGATGGAAAAAATGGAAATCAGAAGAATAGAAAAATCCTTAGGTGTATTTAAGGTGCTCAAACTGCAAACCTTATGCCAAAATTGTAAGGGTTGTCAGCGCTGCAGATCCAGCATCTCTCATTGTGAAAGATGCCAAGGGTATATTGTTTGATATGGGGTCTTACACAAATGATTTGATCGCAAATGAAATATCATTACTTGAAGAAGAAATAAATAGGTTGGAATTTGAAATGACAAGAGATAAGTACTCAACACCATTAGCTGAATGGCATGTCAGGCATGGACATTAGGCAGACCATACGCCTTGCCAAAGTGTAATGACCAGACTGAATAAATTTTAAATGGCAATCCAAAGGGAGAGGGCTACCCGTTTGGCAGACTATTCAAGTTTGGCTGTTCATTTGGCAGGTCAGAGAGGTATAGCACACCAAGATGATCATCCTAACAGTATGCCATGCCACAAGTGAGTTAAGGCTAGGTATAAGTGTTTCTATACAAATGAGCAAATAAAAATGCATAAAATGTATATCTGTTATACAGAGAAAGTTTGAATTATTTTTCTTACACATACTTAGTACCCACAACATATTAAAGCACATTATGACATCATAATTAGCACTCAAGGTAATAAAACACATCAACAAAACAAAACAGCGTCAGCTCAAGGACATATCCTACTAGTATTTACTTTAAATAAATAATATACATTTGTTGACTGGGTTCGAGGACAACATGCGTTTTGTTGGACCCAAGAACCAAACTGTTTGCCTGAGGCCATTAAGCCGAAGGCAAACAGTTTGGTTCGAGAGGTCGACAAAACACATTTTGCCCGAGAACACAGTCAATAAATGTTTTGTTATACCTTTTATTTATATATTTTATCTTCTTTTTTTTTTGGACATACATGTATGTCGAACACCAACAAATGCAATTGAGATTTAGCTGACCCCGCACATTATGTGACATAAGTGGTCCAACACCTCATCGACAGGTCCAATATCTCACTCCGCAGTCAAACATCGATTTTTTTGTGCTAGCTCAGTAAAACATTTGAAATGTTAAACTTTTATTAGCATTGATTTACATAGGAACAAATTTCTAAAGGTATAACAATGTATAATATTAAGGAGAATACATGTATTATAAAAATTAATAAAATTGCTTCACAAATCTTATGTACTTTACACAGACTGTGAATTTTTACCCTGTTTCAACTCAAAACTTTATGAATAGTAAGAAAACAATCGCACTGTTGATATTTGTGCAGCAATATCAGAAATCTTTGGAATATCCTGCTTCTATTTTCTATTTGTACTTTGTTGATAAATAATAAGAAATAAAACCAAAACAGTAGATCATGCAAGTATGATTATTTACCTTGGAAAAACTTGAAGTCATGGGGTGGACTTAGAAGATCTCTGGCCCTGAAATTCATTTGCAGCCTTAATGCAAACAATCTGGAATCATAATCTTGTAAATCATGCCAGAACTGTTGAATAAAGAATTTGGTCATTAGCCCCATAACGTTAAAAAGGCAGAGTGTCCATCCTTTCCTAATTGAATTTCTTTTTCGCAAGTTGTTGAGGTTTTTAAGAGCTTGGAAACCTGCAATATATGTAGTTAATCAAGTGAACAAAGTTTTAATAACCGTACCGTTAGTAAAAACAAGAGGCCCATGAGCAACTGCACTCACCTAAGTCACCTTTGCCCCAATGTTCTTCTCATGAAGATATTTTAAAAACAAATTCCCTCTTTATTCTTAATTGTATTATGTCCATAGGACATGAATGCCCCGGCCAGTGTTCGTGAGTAATGAAACATGAAAAGATGTATTGTACGAAGTTTGATGAAAATACCTTGAATAGTTTCTTTAGAATGGAGTGTAATACACAATCAATAGTAAAGTTTAAAGGTCATTGGGATGGTAAAAGAAAAAGAAATGGACACAGTTCGTAAATTCTTACTAAATAATGTATCAGTGCATAAGCTTACATATGTGGAATAGTTTCTTTGAGCTAAAAACTAATTTGAGAAGTGAGGTAAAGGTAAAAGGAAAGGTCAAGGTCAAAAGAAGTTGATGAAGTTGAATAGCTTTCCTCAATATGTATCAGCATATGAAGTTTGAAGTTAGAAATATTTTTATTTGTTTCTTTGAACATGTTGAAACTAAGTTAAAAAGAATATAGGAAATTGAATTGCATTATGGGTCACTCCAGGAATACATCTGAAATTTTATGCCAATTTTTGTACTTGTTTTGGAAAGCACATTCTAATTTTTTTTTTGTGCATTTCACAAATTAAATACAAACTATACATTATTATCTACTGTTTCCATGCTCACATTTACAAACAATTACAGTCAAACCTTGTTATCTTGAAGATGATGGGACCAAGATAAAACTTTGAGATATCCGAAGGTTCGAGATATTGAGCCTCAGGGTAAAATACTTAAGAAATAAGTGGTTAGGACTTCCCAATCACTTCGACATATCCATGGTATTCGAGATATCCGTGTTCGAGATACCTAAGTTCAACTGTAGTTTATAAACATAGAATTCTAGTTTTCTCCTTTTTTGTCTAAGGCAACTAAATGTGGACGATTGTCTATATTCCCGTTTGATAGCATCAGTGAATACAAATTTCATGTGGAATACCTGGACCAAGATTATAGTCAGTAAGATGTCCACACGCATTATCATCATATTATCTTAAATACTAGTATTGAGATGGTTTTGTGATTTCAATGTATTATTTAACTCAGAAAAACAACTTAAATTGTTTCTGAATGTGAGCATGGAGCATCTTTATTAGTACCTAATCTTTGTATTTTTCAGAAAAGCAATGAAAATAAGTTTCAGTTGTCTTTCCCGCATTTTAATGAATATTACTTTGTACATTTACCTAAACCATGTGATGTGAAAATGGAGAAAAAAAGTTCATCAACAGATTGCCAGTTAGTTTCTATGTTTAAAAAAATTATGCATGAAATAAATGTAAAATGTGAAATGTTTTGTTATACATGTAACACGCTGGGAAGACCTGTCGTATAAACAAAGTAATCTACGTAGATTTATCTATACAGCGTTGTGGGTATTTAAATGTCCTTTTCGATTTAGGGAATAATCACGAGTTTCTGCAACACCCTCTTTTAAGACAGAAATTAGTTTGACTTACACACGGCAGAACGGACATTGCTCCACTCACAGTGAATCCTAAAGAATTATTTAAGGAATGAATTTAATAGTTACCCAATTTATACGGTATAAACTGGGTTGGGGCAGTTTACGCTTTATAAACCGCAAAGCGGTAAATAAAAAAGCATAAACTGTTCCAACCCAGTTTATACCATATAAATTGGGTAACTTTTCAATTCATTCCTTATAATTTAATTTTCCTTCATTTGGTGTATGAAAAAAAGATGATCACCCTTAAAAAATGACTACAATTTGTACAAAATTTGAATGTAACCTCAGGTGGATCAATACGTTTTTGACGCAAGTCATTGTGATGTAGGCAACCCAATTTATATGATTTAAAGTAATTTTTTTATCCAATCAAATACATCATTACAACCAGAATTAAATTATTCACATCTAAAGATTTAATTTTAAATAGGGAGAAATCAAAAGAGGTAAAATAATTGTCATTAAGACCCCTTAATAATAAATATGATTAATGTTGATTCAAAGATTATCAAGTACTAATACTTCTTATTACACAGTTAATTACTGATATATTTCATTTGTTTATCCATAGAAAGAAGCATTCCACATAACTAAAAGTATTAAATCTCATCTGAATTTTTTTTTTTTTTTTTTTTTTTTGCATTATTATCAATGTCAAAGAATAAAAACTTTTGGGGCTCTCTATTCCCCTCCCTTAACTATTTGAATTACGTTTTTTAATCATTTAATCAGTACGTTACAATAAATTGACAAATCTGATGTCAAATCACTATTACAAGTGGTTCAAATTTGTTGTCTTATCCTCTGAGTCTCTGCACCTAATTGAAATCATCATAATATATAAAATGTTGGAATAAAGTCTGCGATATTTAATTTTAGCGGCATCAATTTATTTGCACTTTTTAGTGCGACATTGGAGAATTTCACTGTGATAGATAAAGTGTATGTCATTCAAAACATGTCCAAAAAGTGTCATTCATCAGAGATTGTTGTCATAAAAAAAAACGAACTTTGAAACAAGTATATTCGACAATTCAATATAATTGTAAAAATATATCGCATTCTAACGCAACAATCATAAGGCGGTTATACTTGTCCGTAAGAAACAGATTTTCTAGTCATGTTGATGATTATTATCTGACAAGTTCGACATAAAGATCTGAAAAGTTGACATAAACATCTGACAAGTAGTGGCAGAAGTATACCATCATAACAATCACTTTTTCATTTACCCTTCAGGCTTTCTTGACATTTAGGCGCCATTCCGAATTTCAAAAATATTGAACCCGATCTTACTTTTGATAGAGTTAGTCAGCTTTTTAGTTTCGTACTATAGATCCGGTCAAATTTCTTTAAAAACTGAGATATCCCCTGTTTGATATGATATTTTATGTAGAAAAATGAATAGAATAATTATGGAATGCATGAGCAGTGTAGTGGCCAAGTACTTGGTGAAAAAAATGTAGGCATCACTAGAAATGCGAAACTAAGACACGCTATCAGTAACTCTGGAAAGTAGAAGGATTTGAAAAGGTTATGGAATGAGAGAACAAATCTCTGGATGTTCACGTGGCTTTGTTTGTTATGGAAAGTAGTATAGAGTACTGAAGTTTGTGTAGATTACTGAATAGTGTGTGTTCACTCTAACTACCCGATTGGCCGAATTAAGGTATTTAATTTTTTTTTCATTTTAAAGTAAAAATAATGTTTGAAATAAATGATGGGATGTAAGAATATTATAGAAAATATAGAAATACCAGAGGAGATTGTAGGAGTGGGGGTTGATATTTTTGGCAGAGTGTTATTTACTGCCGATCGCTATAAGTTCGCTATAAGTCGGAAAGAATTATATGTGTATAATTGCTACGGTCTCTGTATGACACAGCTGTTTTCTCTCAAGCTATGTAGAGTTCTGGATTTCGCCATGCCCTAATAATTTACTTTAGGTTGTGCCCCCTTCCCCCAAATGAAATTGCTTCCTATGGGTTTCCCAAATATATAGATTTAGCTAATTTATAATACTTTTTTTTTAAATGTGCATTTTTTCCTGCATGTAAAATAATTGCACTTTAGTATTTGTTATTTTTTGTATTTATCTATATTGCTTAACATAATTCTCTTTTCAGAATTCTCCCAATGGCAAGGTGAAGGGAAAGGCCAAGAGCCGATCCTCCCGTGCCGGACTTCAGTTCCCCGTGGGTCGTATCCACCGTCTGCTGAGGAAGGGCAACTACGCCGAGAGAGTGGGAGCCGGTGCCCCCGTGTACCTGGCCGCCGTTCTTGAATACTTGGCCGCCGAAGTCTTGGAGTTGGCAGGCAACGCCGCCCGCGACAACAAGAAGACCAGAATTATCCCCCGTCATCTGCAGCTGGCCATCCGCAACGACGAGGAGTTAAACAAACTGCTGTCCGGCGTGACCATCGCCCAGGGTGGTGTCCTGCCCAACATCCAGGCCGTGCTCCTCCCCAAGAAGACCCAGAAGTCCGCCAGCAAGTAAAAAAAAGTCTGTACGACTTTCAAATATACCAAACGGCCGTTTTCACGGCCACCCAAATTTTTCGAAAAGATGCCTCTGAGCGCATACTGTTAATATAAGAAACGAAATGCATGTTTAATAAATGAAAATATACATGCCAAGATATCACATTAATTTCACGTATATACAGTACCAGGCCATAAGTGAATCCTAATTGATTTTTGTGGCACATAATTTCAAAATGTAAGCGTGACATCACGCAACAAATGCAAAACTGAAATTTTACGGCACAGATTTGTTAAGAAATCATGGTAGAAATGTTAGCCACGATGAATTGTTTTCAATGATCAAAGGTATATAGTAACTAAGCAAATGATTTATTAGAGTGACACGTGTTATATACCATACAACAACATTTCAATAGGGTTCAATCAAAAATCCACATATTATTATTACTCAATCTTGTGTTTATTTTAAAACAAATTTGGGTAAGAAATGGTATAGAAGACGAAATTCCTTCTTTTTTTTTTTTTTTTTTTTTTTTTTTTTTTTTTTTTTTATAGCACTGTGCTTAATTTGTACTCTGAATACCGGTCAAAGTTTTTTTGAAAACATGTGTTTTAATCGAATGCCAAAAATAAGAATGCTAATTGTAAAATGTATCTCGGTGTCATATGCATCTTCCAATATATATGTATATGTATGTATATATATATATATATATATATAACAGACACTGCTAATCTTAGCACACAGGTGTATACTTACAAAATGCATACATATATTTTAGGGGTGAAACGATACACCTCCTTCACGGTTCGATACGTATTGTATAATTTTGTCTCGGTTCGGTTATTTTCGATACGATACATTTTGATAGAAGAAAACAAATTCAACGTTGTTTTATGCTTTCTTTTTCTAAATCTAGTAACATATTTTACGAGTTTTATTTGCAAATTGACTAGAAGAAATTGATTAAAATTATTTGACGGTCAAAAATTATTTTACAAGCTATCAGTCATAAAAAATTTACGTTTTCTATACTTATTTTACTGAGTAATGTGTTTTACCTTATGCCAAACCCGACTGAATAACGATCCCGACCGAAAAATGAACCGAACCGAAAATTAGAGATTTTGCACCGTGTATCAAACCGAGAAAAAATACCGCAGTGAATCGATACCGCGGTGAACCGTTTCACTCCTAATATATTTAAATATTATGTATATTTTCATGTACTTTTTTTTTTTAAACTGTTTGTGAACAAATCAAGTAATGTACACATGTCACTAAAAATAAATAAATGACTTCCTTACCGTAATACCAATTAAATATTAAAACACCTATAGATATGTCAGGTTTAACAAAAATGAATAAAAAAAGGAAAGAAGGAAAATCGGAAAACTTCAAACGAAATTTTGAATAATTCTGAATCATGGTAATCGGGCTTAATTTTACCTCACAATAATTTCTTATCAATGAAATTAATCTTTTAAAACAGCAAAAAAAGAAAATAGCTGAGAAAGCAACAAAAGCATTATATGAAGTATTAAAGAAAGGAAGATTACATAACCTATCAATACAGTGTCAACCTGATTTGTTTGATAAAATCGTTCAACCTATATTGTTATATGGATGTGAAGTGTGGGGATTTTCAAATAATGCAATTATAGAAAGGGTACATCTAAAATTCTGTAAACTTTTACTCCATTTAAACGATTCAACCCCAGATTTCATGATATATGGTGAGCTTGGTCGATACCCTATGGGAATTCAAATAAAAACACGCATGATATCTTACTGGTCAAAATTAATTACTGGCAAAGAAACAAAAATTGCAAATTTATGCTATAAATTAGGCTTTATTTTAAATCAAGAAATAGGAGGAAAAATCAGCTGGTTTGAAAATGTTGGAAATATTCTGAATAATTGTGGGCTATCTAATATTCGGCTTGAGCAAAGCTCAAATAATACAAAATGGTTAACGGCGAAAGTTAATGATCAATTCAAGCAAATTTGGCAATCAACTCTTCAAACCTCACCTAAAGCATTAAATTATAGAATATACAAAGACGAATTAAAGTTTGAAAACTATTTTAATATTTTCTCAAAACAGGATTCAACTACATTTTGTAGATTGCGAACTTGTAACCATCATTTACCAATTGAAAATGGACGTTGGCTTAATATACCAAGACAAGACAGAATTTGTTCCCATTGTAATCTAAAAGAAATCGGAGATGAATTTCATTACATACTAATGTGCACTTCACTACAAAAAGAAAGAATGCTATGCTTAACAGAAAAACACATACGATTTAAGAATATAATTAGTTTTAAAAACATCATGAATAGCAATAAACACTATTTTCTGAGAAAAATGTGTTCGTTTATAAAGAAAATAAATAAAATATGCTCCCCGGCCTAGAATTCCCATGCTTCACATTTATAGCAAAGTACTAGTTTTTGTTCTTTATTATTCACGCATGCTATTGCTATGTATTAAATTATCTATTTGGTGTAAGTCTCTATATGCTATTGTAAAATGGTGAAGAGATTCAAATAAATGAATACTGAATACTGTAAAATTGAAATTAGGACTCACTTATATTATGGCCATTTATCGTATTTATATAAATTATTTGGATACACAACGCCATTTAATGCAGGTACAGTATTCGTACGTGTAAGGGCAGAATCCTGGGGAGTGATTTTAACAGCATGATTTATTTTTATTTTTAGGTAAAATATCAGCGACGCATGCAGATGACATTGTGAAAAGTTTTGTGTTTCGACGGGTTTATATATATGCCTGGATATTATGCTTCATTTAGTTTTAAATATTTTTTTTTATCGATTGGAAACAAGTTCTTACAACTTCCTGAAATATAACAGTGTGTCCTGCAAAATAAATAGCTTGAGTATGCAATGTATAAAATTAATTACACGTATAATGCACCAGGGAAATGCGAAAACTTGTCAGCATAACGCACAAGCACGAAAAAGAAAAGAAAGAATGAATATGATTTAAAAATAACAACAATAATAACGGAAATTAAGAGTTTAAGAAAAAGTAATTTCCATATTGTCTATCAGTCGTCTATACCGCATGTCTAAATAGGCAGGTATGACACAGTACACAGTCTTTGTGAATTTCTCGCAGTTGGAGGGCAAACTAAGAATTTTTATAAGACGGGGAGATCCAAATGGCATTCTTTAATGTGTCTAATAAAAAAATAAAAGAAATCATCCCTGATTTTTGTCCTTTGAAGCAAAATTTTTAGCTTTAATCGTACCCCGAAATTCAAACATGACAGTTTGGAGGCGTATTTTCCTGAATTTAAACACTACAGTTACAACGATCTTAAAATGTAAATAGATAGAATGGTAGAGAGAAATGTAAAGGCTGGGATTCTGCTCATGTTATGTGGTGAAGTTCATTCCTTGAGCTGCAGCGCGGATGCAAATACCCACATTGAAACACACATCCATGAACAAAACAACAAACGTCTCGACAAACTAGATGTTTTCTAGGCGGTCCGCGCTCAGTGTAAACAAAAACAGCAAGTGCGTGTGACCCGAGTATTTCACTGTTCACAGTTCCTGAGAAGTAAGTCGACGTTTTACTCTCGTCAGTAGCCATGGCCGATACTGCTCCTCCAGCAAAGTCCCCAGCCAAGAAGAAGGCCGCAAAGCCTAAGGTGCCCGCTGCACATCCCAAGTACATTGACATGATTAGCGCTGCTGTTGCATCTCTGAAAGAACGTGGTGGCTCATCTCGACAGGCCATTCTCAAGTACATCATGGCCAACTACAAAGTGGGCAACGATGTTAACTCTATCAACGCCCACCTGAAAATGGCCCTGAAGAGCGGAGTTAAGAAAGGCGCTCTGAAGCAAGCAAAGGGCACAGGCGCTAGTGGCTCCTTCAAACTTGGAGACAAACCCAAGACCGAAAAGAAGCCTAAAGCCAAAAAGGTAGCCAAACCCAAGGCAGCCAAGCCCAAGAAGGCCGCCACCAAGCCCAAGAAGCCTGCGGGAGAGAAGAAGGCCAAGACTCCAAAGAAGAAGGCAGCAGCCAAGAAACCAGCCGGACCCAAGAAAGCCAAGTCCCCCAAGAAAAAGGCAGCCCCCAAGTCTCCAAAGAAGGCAGCAGCCAAACCCAAGAAGGCCAAGACCCCCAAGAAGGCAGCGGCCAAGAAGACAAAGACTCCCAAGAAAGCAGCCGCCAAGAAATAAGCAGTCTTCGCATTCCAGGCAGACTGTCTACGCTTAAAACAAAATTTAAAAAGCCCTTTTCAGGGCTACCCACATTTTTAGAAAAGATGCCTTAAAAACATTCGTTAACGAAACATTTGCATAATCATTGCCTTTCTTTTCCCTCTCTTTCTCATTTTAATATTTGGAATGCAGAGGTCTGTGTTGAAAATTTAAACTAAACAAACATGTGAAATATTACAATTTCACTAACAATATATCTTACACAAATGCCTACACTGTCTAGGTGTAAACTAGGATTATGTGCTCATGGTAATTTATGTAATTGCATGCATATCTCACATGAATTCCTGATTGAACAATAATCTAAATAATAGGGAGGAGCAGTAAGTGAAATGAATGATGATTAAAAAAGTGTGTGAATTAATTTTTGTTTATAATGTACATAATATCAGGTCAAGTTTGAATTATTATATATGATAGACCATTTTCACACACCTTCTCACACACATACACTCACTGACTGTTGCAGTGTAATTCCATTCAATGTACAGAACAGAAGTCTTCTTTGATATTTTAGAATTGGTTTTATTTCCTAGCTTTCACGTCACACACAGAATGAATTAATGAAGCATACTCTGGTACGACTAAAATGAATTTCTAAGGCAGTGACTTTTTTCATGCAAGTGTCCGTGTAAACTGTAAATGGTCACAAGATTCTTGAAAGCAAAACCACATGCATACCAGGGCTTGTCAACAAACATCAAATATTTCTACAAAATCAATGTTTTTGAACAACTTCTTGAAGCTTTGTTTTGACAGGACTTCAAAATTTGATAAATATTCAAATTCTTGAACTTTCTAAAGTCTAAAGTGATAAACACATACAGAAGTTAAGGTGGGGGTGGGGATAAAGAAAGCAAAGCAATGATGAGCTGGTTTATGAGTCAGGATGTCGAATCCAGCAAACACTGGATCATGTATAAAGTAAAACATTATGGCCTGAAAAACATTTCATGAGGAAATTTTAAAGTAATATTCATTGATATAATAATAAAAATAATATAAATGAATGAATGAATGAATGAATGAATGAATGAATGAATGAATGAATGAATGAATGAATGAATAAATAAATAAATAAATAAATAAATAAATAAATAAATAAGTAAGTAAATAAATAAATAAATAAATAAATAAATAAATAAATAAATAAATAAATAAATAAATAAATAAATAAATAAATAAATAAATAAATAAATAAATAAATAAATGAATAAATAAATAAATAAATAAATAAATAAATAAATATATTTAAAAAAAAATAAAAAGCATAGGGAGTGTTTATATGTCTATCTTCATGGTTATTATCATATTTACTGTGATCGTACATCTTTCAATACAGTGGGTCTATTAGATTATTTTATATAGAGAATTTAACATTGATTTTAACCAAGTACAAAATCTGTGCAAAAAAGGTGGATTGAAATGATTCCAGCTAAGACCAATGGAAGCACGCTATGCGCGACTAATCGCAAGGTGTCTTTCTTAACCCCCAACCAATCGCAAACATCCTTACTTAATGCGCGCTGATTTCGATTCAAGAGCCACAAACCGTATAAAACTATAGTAAACGCTTGCTCTCGTCATTCATTTTATCTGAACTCAGAGAAGATGGCACGTACCAAGCAGACTGCAAGAAAATCTACTGGAGGCAAGGCCCCACGAAAACAGCTGGCTACCAAGGCAGCCCGCAAAAGCGCACCAGCCACCGGTGGCGTTAAGAAGCCCCACAGATACAGGCCAGGAACTGTCGCTCTCCGTGAGATCAGGAGGTACCAGAAAAGCACCGAGTTGTTGATCAGGAAACTCCCATTCCAGCGTCTTGTCCGTGAAATCGCTCAGGATTTCAAGACAGATCTGCGTTTCCAGAGCTCTGCCGTCATGGCCCTCCAAGAAGCCAGTGAAGCCTACCTTGTCGGACTCTTTGAGGATACCAACTTGTGTGCTATCCACGCTAAGAGAGTGACCATCATGCCAAAGGACATCCAGCTTGCCAGACGTATCCGTGGCGAGAGAGCTTAAACATTTTCTTGTCTCGGACAAACACACAAACGGCCGTTTTCACGGCCACCAAAATATTTAGAAAAGATGCCCTCTTTAACAGCACTAATTAGAAACGTGACAACAAAGAGCACAAGTATATTGACCACATAATTTATGTCAGGTGTTATTGGCGAAATATTGTTTATTGTATATGAATGCAAGGAAACACACAGATATGATAGTGTCTTGAATACTGGCATAATTGCATAATTATGGCAGCTTATACTCGTATTATATATAAAGAAAACAAACAAACGAAAACACGCATGAAACGAGTGTCGCACAACAGTTTGAGAGAGAAACAATACACTGTAAAAATTACGTACATGTATCCCAAGCAATTCTAAAGGCACGTTAACAGAAATAATAATGATAAAAAAGTGATTCATGCATGGTTATACATATTTTGCTTAAATTCAGAGAGCGTGATAAACAATATGACACAATGGATACTGTTTTGAGAGTAATATTCTGACAGATAATAATAAATATGGTCAGTTGTTTGAAACATTTGCATATATATATTTATTACATTTCTATTCTGCGTAAAGAAATACTACTACTAATAATAATATTAATAATTGAAAAGAAATAAAGAGAGATACAGAGAATAACATGTACTGAGTTGGTAACGTGATATTTTATTTATTACGAGATGTATTATTTAAATGTGTCTTGCATTAAAGAATATTGTTTTAAATTATTTCCCTGAAAATATGACAGTATACAGAACCCCCGCAAAAATATGAAATCATATATAATGAACTACTGAAATTTAAGATTTGCCTATATAGACAAGTACATGATTTAGTAACAGCTCAAGGGTACACGAAAAAAATGTCAACAAAAGCAAATACGCAAGGCGCGCAGAGCGCGAACCAATCGCGCTTTAGCTTACACTGTGCCTTCGGAACGTGAAAATTGCACTGCCGAAGTTTTCAAGATACCACTGCTTCTAGCACGTCGTTGATTAGCGCTATATATACCACGATCTCTCCCCTAGCCCTCACATTTCAGAAGATTATCTACTGAGAGCAGAATTATGTCTGGACGTGGTAAAGGAGGAAAAGGTCTTGGAAAGGGGGGCGCCAAGCGTCACAGGAAGGTCCTGAGAGATAACATCCAGGGTATTACCAAACCCGCCATCCGCCGTCTTGCACGCAGAGGTGGAGTCAAACGTATCTCTGGGCTCATCTACGAGGAGACCCGTGGAGTCCTGAAAGTTTTCCTCGAGAACGTCATTCGTGATGCTGTCACCTACACGGAGCACGCCAAGAGGAAGACCGTCACAGCCATGGACGTTGTCTATGCCCTGAAGAGACAAGGACGTACCCTCTACGGATTCGGTGGTTAGATACCCCTACCATACTGTGCCTCCAAGAGCAAGAACAAACGGCCGTTTTCACGGCCACCCAAATTTTTCGAAAAGATACCTCTGAGCAGACGTGTTAAAGAAACGAAGGTGTTAATTTTTCTATATTCATTTCTAGTGAGCAAAAGAATTTTGATTTAATGTCACTGGAAGAAGGCATATTATTCGGATAGCCTTGCAGTAACTTGTACACAGGGTAGGGGAAAACAAATAATTACAATATCTTCATAATTATTGATTTACATTAGGTTCCCATGTAAGATTTTTGATCAGAAAAAGGGGGGCCTGCATGGGGAAAATACAAACAGACAAGAAAGTCCCATGCTCTAGTTGATTATTTCCAAGGACACATCTGGTAGATAAATATCAATTTAATAACCTGCACGTTGTTACAGTTTCCTGAGATATCGTCGAAAGCTGTAAATATTGAAATAGTATCCCTGTCAATACAGAGACAAAATTCGCGTATACAACAACTCGTACGGTTAAATGTACTTTGACAAGGTAGCAAGAGTTGTCTTTCGTTTTATGTGTGCTGTATATTCCTATGCATTGAGCAAGTGGTTATTTGCAGTGCAGGTCTATCATCTTTACATTTACATGCCTCTATCAACAATAAAGCATGACTTCACGATGTTGTTGTTGTTCTTCATTCTATTACATTTGGATTCCAACATAGACACCACATGTAATAGTAGTATGGCAACAAAGTACACCACACAGTCAAAAACATCATCTCAAGAAAAAAAAACTATGACCCATACTTGCGCGATATATTTCGTAATACCACTAAATATACATGTTTATTTTATACAGGGATGTCCCAGAACTAGCATTGTTTGAAATGATTATCTTGATCCTCATTCCTGTGCAAAACAAACCAACACACACAAAGCAAAATGTTTAAACAGAGATGACTTTGAAATATTCATATGCAGAAATGTGAAACACAACTTGAAGACGCTAGGTCTTAAGAATGTAGTTTATTTGATTACTTGTATATTTCCCGTAGGATCTTAAATGTTTGACATTCAAACGTAATTCCTTTTCAATATCCTTTGAAATGCATTTTTTTCATGAAGATAACCTGTAATGAGCTATAATATTTTTCCAGTAGATATTAAATCTGTGCTAGTTTTCTATACATGTTGTACACATGTTGATCACAACGTAAAATGTTCAATAAGATGTAATTACAATTTCTGGGTGATTATAGTTTATCTACCATTATCTTTGTGCCTCAGTGCATCACACATCCTTTGATATACTGAATTATAATATCTAGGTTACTTAAGAAATGTTTTTGAAAGTTCATGAAGGTATGACATACCTTTCACCAGGGCATATTTCATACAAATAAAATTATATATACCTGCCAGGGTGAAAAGTATCAGTTCATATCCTCCAGACAGACACTGACAAACTGTCTAGGGTATATATTTTCTATGTATTGAGGTATAGTATATTATTCCTCGTCTGTCATAGTTCATGAGAATAGGAGGAATTTTCATTTAATTTAAAAGAAATAACAAAGAGAATTCAAATTTCAGTTGAATAAGATAGACCCAGGCAAAATATATTATTTCTGTATAATAAGGAATTCGTTCATATTCTTTCTTAACGACATCTTCATTACAAGCCTCTAAGATACAGATATTCAGTGTTTCAGTACTTAAACTGGTATCTTACTAAGTATATACTTTCTCTTAATGATTTCTAATGTATAATGATCCAATATAATTATAAACACTGCATACGGTAATATTTATAATTTGCTTGTGCTCTGTTTTTAACCTACATTTTTTTGTTATCTTTATGATATAAATTATTCATTCTGGCTGTCTTCCATGTGCTTGAGAGGGGAAAAAAAGTGAACTGCTCTGTTGTTAAATTACTTTAAGGCTCACATAGTATAACATGCCTATGTGTAGCTAAAATTTGTTTTCGTCTGCAACTGTTGTGTTATAAATTATTCGTTGGGGCCCTGTTTTTTTTTTTTTTTTTCCTTTCTTAAATTCCCTGTCTGTAAATATATAATGTACACTATGAGGGGGCACATGTTCATTTATTTTTCAGAGGGTGTGCGTGTTTTTTTATTTTCAGGCATAGACCAACATTCAAAATTATTAATTAGCAAGAACAGTGTCTACAGACAAAAACAGATAATGCTAAGAAATAAAAATAAATAAGGTAAACATCTTGTTAAGACAAAACCTGATATACACACGTTTCTTAACGCTGTATTGAAAGTATCTTTTCGAAAAATTTGTGTGGCCCTGAAAAGGGCCGTTTTGTTTTTCTGAAGTGCAAGTTTGCAGTTTACTTGCTGCTGGTGTACTTGGTGACAGCCTTGGTTCCCTCAGAGACGGCGTGTTTGGCCAACTCACCGGGCAGAAGGAGACGGACAGCAGTCTGGATCTCTCTGCTGGTGATGGTTGATCGCTTGTTGTAGTGAGCGAGACGGGAGGCTTCGGCAGCGATTCTCTCAAAGATGTCGTTGACGAAAGAGTTCATGATGCTCATGGCCTTGCTGGAAACACCAGTATCTGGGTGAACCTGTTTCAGGACCTTGTAGATGTAAATGGCATAGGATTCCCTCCTCTTCCTGCGCTTTTTCTTGTCCCCAGTTCTCTGGGCCTTGGCCTTAGTGGCTGCTTTCTTAGCTCCTTTAGATCCGACTTTGGGTGGCATGTTTACAGGTTGTATACAAACTGAAAACTATGAGTGTCGATTCGCGCCTCGCTGGTTTTATATCGCACGGACGGATAACGGCCGATCAGTACATTACGAACCCTCGAGAAAACTAGTGTTGTTCGGCGAGCGACAAAGTGTGTAAAATACGATCGTGCCGATTGGCTGTACGGTTCAATCCGCCTGCGTGTTTAAATAGGGTCGCGAAGCCTGAGTTAAGAGTTATTCGTTGATTTCATTTCTTGAGCGTCAACTACTCGTAACAGATCAAAGATGTCAGGACGTGGTAAAGGAGGCAAGGTGAAGGGAAAGGCCAAGAGCCGATCCTCCCGTGCCGGACTTCAGTTCCCCGTGGGTCGTATCCACCGTCTGCTGAGGAAGGGCAACTACGCCGAGAGAGTGGGAGCCGGTGCCCCCGTGTACCTGGCCGCCGTTCTTGAATACTTGGCCGCCGAAGTCTTGGAGTTGGCAGGCAACGCCGCCCGCGACAACAAGAAGACCAGAATTATCCCCCGTCATCTGCAGCTGGCCATCCGCAACGACGAGGAGTTAAACAAACTGCTGTCCGGCGTGACCATCGCCCAGGGTGGTGTCCTGCCCAACATCCAGGCCGTGCTCCTCCCCAAGAAGACCCAGAAGTCCGCCAGCAAGTAAAAAAAAGTCTGTACGACTTTCAAATATACCAAACGGCCGTTTTCACGGCCACCCAAATTTTTCGAAAAGATGCCTCTGAGCGCATACTGTTAATATAAGAAACGAAATGCATGTTTAATAAATGAAAATATACATGCCAAGATATCACATTAATTTCACGTATATACAGTACCAGGCCATAAGTGAATCCTAATTGATTTTTGTGGCACATAATTTCAAAATGTAAGCGTGACATCACGCAACAAATGCAAAACTGAAATTTTACGGCACAGATTTGTTAAGAAATCATGGTAGAAATGTTAGCCACGATGAATTGTTTTCAATGATCAAAGGTATATAGTAACTAAGCAAATGATTTATTAGAGTGACACGTGTTATATACCATACAACAACATTTCAATAGGGTTCAATCAAAAATCCACATATTATTATTACTCAATCTTGTGTTTATTTTAAAACAAATTTGGGTAAGAAATGGTATAGAAGACGAAATTCCTTCTTTTTTTTTTTTTTTTTTTTTTTTTTTTTTTTTTTTTTATAGCACTGTGCTTAATTTGTACTCTGAATACCGGTCAAAGTTTTTTTGAAAACATGTGTTTTAATCGAATGCCAAAAATAAGAATGCTAATTGTAAAATGTATCTCGGTGTCATATGCATCTTCCAATATATATGTATATGTATGTATATATATATATATATATATATAACAGACACTGCTAATCTTAGCACACAGGTGTATACTTACAAAATGCATACATATATTTTAGGGGTGAAACGATACACCTCCTTCACGGTTCGATACGTATTGTATAATTTTGTCTCGGTTCGGTTATTTTCGATACGATACATTTTGATAGAAGAAAACAAATTCAACGTTGTTTTATGCTTTCTTTTTCTAAATCTAGTAACATATTTTACGAGTTTTATTTGCAAATTGACTAGAAGAAATTGATTAAAATTATTTGACGGTCAAAAATTATTTTACAAGCTATCAGTCATAAAAAATTTACGTTTTCTATACTTATTTTACTGAGTAATGTGTTTTACCTTATGCCAAACCCGACTGAATAACGATCCCGACCGAAAAATGAACCGAACCGAAAATTAGAGATTTTGCACCGTGTATCAAACCGAGAAAAAATACCGCAGTGAATCGATACCGCGGTGAACCGTTTCACTCCTAATATATTTAAATATTATGTATATTTTCATGTACTTTTTTTTTTTAAACTGTTTGTGAACAAATCAAGTAATGTACACATGTCACTAAAAATAAATAAATGACTTCCTTACCGTAATACCAATTAAATATTAAAACACCTATAGATATGTCAGGTTTAACAAAAATGAATAAAAAAAGGAAAGAAGGAAAATCGGAAAACTTCAAACGAAATTTTGAATAATTCTGAATCATGGTAATCGGGCTTAATTTTACCTCACAATAATTTCTTATCAATGAAATTAATCTTTTAAAACAGCAAAAAAAGAAAATAGCTGAGAAAGCAACAAAAGCATTATATGAAGTATTAAAGAAAGGAAGATTACATAACCTATCAATACAGTGTCAACCTGATTTGTTTGATAAAATCGTTCAACCTATATTGTTATATGGATGTGAAGTGTGGGGATTTTCAAATAATGCAATTATAGAAAGGGTACATCTAAAATTCTGTAAACTTTTACTCCATTTAAACGATTCAACCCCAGATTTCATGATATATGGTGAGCTTGGTCGATACCCTATGGGAATTCAAATAAAAACACGCATGATATCTTACTGGTCAAAATTAATTACTGGCAAAGAAACAAAAATTGCAAATTTATGCTATAAATTAGGCTTTATTTTAAATCAAGAAATAGGAGGAAAAATCAGCTGGTTTGAAAATGTTGGAAATATTCTGAATAATTGTGGGCTATCTAATATTCGGCTTGAGCAAAGCTCAAATAATACAAAATGGTTAACGGCGAAAGTTAAACTCACATTAATTGATCAATTCAAGCAAATTTGGCAATCAACTCTTCAAACCTCACCTAAAGCATTAAATTATAGAATATACAAAGACGAATTAAAGTTTGAAAACTATTTTAATATTTTCTCAAAACAGGATTCAACTACATTTTGTAGATTGCGAACTTGTAACCATCATTTACCAATTGAAAATGGACGTTGGCTTAATATACCAAGACAAGACAGAATTTGTTCCCATTGTAATCTAAAAGAAATCGGAGATGAATTTCATTACATACTAATGTGCACTTCACTACAAAAAGAAAGAATGCTATGCTTAACAGAAAAACACATACGATTTAAGAATATAATTAGTTTTAAAAACATCATGAATAGCAATAAACACTATTTTCTGAGAAAAATGTGTTCGTTTATAAAGAAAATAAATAAAATATGCTCCCCGGCCTAGAATTCCCATGCTTCACATTTATAGCAAAGTACTAGTTTTTGTTCTTTATTATTCACGCATGCTATTGCTATGTATTAAATTATCTATTTGGTGTAAGTCTCTATATGCTATTGTAAAATGGTGAAGAGATTCAAATAAATGAATACTGAATACTGTAAAATTGAAATTAGGACTCACTTATATTATGGCCATTTATCGTATTTATATAAATTATTTGGATACACAACGCCATTTAATGCAGGTACAGTATTCGTACGTGTAAGGGCAGAATCCTGGGGAGTGATTTTAACAGCATGATTTATTTTTATTTTTAGGTAAAATATCAGCGACGCATGCAGATGACATTGTGAAAAGTTTTGTGTTTCGACGGGTTTATATATATGCCTGGATATTATGCTTCATTTAGTTTTAAATATTTTTTTTTATCGATTGGAAACAAGTTCTTACAACTTCCTGAAATATAACAGTGTGTCCTGCAAAATAAATAGCTTGAGTATGCAATGTATAAAATTAATTACACGTATAATGCACCAGGGAAATGCGAAAACTTGTCAGCATAACGCACAAGCACGAAAAAGAAAAGAAAGAATGAATATGATTTAAAAATAACAACAATAATAACGGAAATTAAGAGTTTAAGAAAAAGTAATTTCCATATTGTCTATCAGTCGTCTATACCGCATGTCTAAATAGGCAGGTATGACACAGTACACAGTCTTTGTGAATTTCTCGCAGTTGGAGGGCAAACTAAGAATTTTTATAAGACGGGGAGATCCAAATGGCATTCTTTAATGTGTCTAATAAAAAAATAAAAGAAATCATCCCTGATTTTTGTCCTTTGAAGCAAAATTTTTAGCTTTAATCGTACCCCGAAATTCAAACATGACAGTTTGGAGGCGTATTTTCCTGAATTTAAACACTACAGTTACAACGATCTTAAAATGTAAATAGATAGAATGGTAGAGAGAAATGTAAAGGCTGGGATTCTGCTCATGTTATGTGGTGAAGTTCATTCCTTGAGCTGCAGCGCGGATGCAAATACCCACATTGAAACACACATCCATGAACAAAACAACAAACGTCTCGACAAACTAGATGTTTTCTAGGCGGTCCGCGCTCAGTGTAAACAAAAACAGCAAGTGCGTGTGACCCGAGTATTTCACTGTTCACAGTTCCTGAGAAGTAAGTCGACGTTTTACTCTCGTCAGTAGCCATGGCCGATACTGCTCCTCCAGCAAAGTCCCCAGCCAAGAAGAAGGCCGCAAAGCCTAAGGTGCCCGCTGCACATCCCAAGTACATTGACATGATTAGCGCTGCTGTTGCATCTCTGAAAGAACGTGGTGGCTCATCTCGACAGGCCATTCTCAAGTACATCATGGCCAACTACAAAGTGGGCAACGATGTTAACTCTATCAACGCCCACCTGAAAATGGCCCTGAAGAGCGGAGTTAAGAAAGGCGCTCTGAAGCAAGCAAAGGGCACAGGCGCTAGTGGCTCCTTCAAACTTGGAGACAAACCCAAGACCGAAAAGAAGCCTAAAGCCAAAAAGGTAGCCAAACCCAAGGCAGCCAAGCCCAAGAAGGCCGCCACCAAGCCCAAGAAGCCTGCGGGAGAGAAGAAGGCCAAGACTCCAAAGAAGAAGGCAGCAGCCAAGAAACCAGCCGGACCCAAGAAAGCCAAGTCCCCCAAGAAAAAGGCAGCCCCCAAGTCTCCAAAGAAGGCAGCAGCCAAACCCAAGAAGGCCAAGACCCCCAAGAAGGCAGCGGCCAAGAAGACAAAGACTCCCAAGAAAGCAGCCGCCAAGAAATAAGCAGTCTTCGCATTCCAGGCAGACTGTCTACGCTTAAAACAAAATTTAAAAAGCCCTTTTCAGGGCTACCCACATTTTTAGAAAAGATGCCTTAAAAACATTCGTTAACGAAACATTTGCATAATCATTGCCTTTC